TGGTAGTAAAGGAAGGAATTTTTGCTGCGACCAAATTTAATAGAAATATGGCCCTTCGTTGATTTTTTTTTCATTATAAACCATATAGAAATTTTGTGAACGCAACTCCTCTTAAACCGGATTGCAGATTTTGCTTAAACTTCCAGGGATGAACAACGTTAATGTGTAGATTGCAGTAAAGGAAGGAATTTGTGCTGCGACCAAATTTAACAGAATTATGGTCCTTTGTTAATGTTCTCACTATATACTATGTAGAAATTTTGTGAACGCAACTCCTCTTAAACCGGATGGCAGATTTTGCTTAAACTTCCAGGGATGAACAACCTTAATGTGTAGATGGTAGTAAAGGAAGGAATTTTTGCTGCGACCAAATTTAACAGAATTATGGCCCTTTGTTGATTTTTAGTTTTCAACTTGTGGCACATGTAGTCCAAAAAATATGTGACTTAGAGTCATAAAATTGACAGAACAGTGGTGTGTGGGGGCATCCGTGTCCTATGGACACATTTCTAGTTTATAAAGTGATCCTGTCAGTTGAAACTTTGGCATGACGCCTTGTTCCTGCCCGACGACGTCTTTCTTCAGAATCAAAGAAGTGACCTCTGTAAAAAGAAGAAAACAATAAATGTCGCCAAACACATGTTACTTATTGGAGAAATTGCGAAAATTGTGAAAATAATCCATAAAAGCTTAACAGAGCAATGTGCTTTCGAAATCTGTATATATTTGGGTCCGAGTGGGAGCATCTCTGAAATCGAGTCCGAGTGAGAGCATTTTCCTTTCTTTTAAATAAGAAAAACTGACGTTTGAATAGAAATATTTGAAACCAATCTAGAAAAATGTGTAAACATGACCCGGTTTATATCCTGGTACGTTAAAAATAAATTTGAAGAAGGTTTTCAACCTTATTTCTTTTATGTTTCGGGAAAAGTCCGAGTGGGAGCATTCAGAGAAAAACACTTATCCCGATTTCAGGCCTGAACGAGGCAATAAATCTACAAACTGTTTTTTTTTACAATTATCTCAAGTACTATAGCCATTCTTTGCTGCGCTACATGATTTTTTGATAGTTCTCCAGTTTCAGGGCAACAAGCATTTATTTAATCTATAGGTCATAGTTATTACAGTATAGTACACAGCATACGACTGTTTTTTTTTCAGTCTCAGTACAATAGACAACATAAGACTGATTGCCAGTTACAAGGCTATTTACTGCATTTTATAATTTCTTAGTTTTCATAACTGCTTCCAGGTAACAGAACCACTGACGGCATAAGACTTCTCAATAGTGTAAGGGCAAATTAATGTACAATAGTGAAAGTGCAACAAAATATTACATGATTGCACGCTTATTCTGTTGAAGTTTTGTTAATAATAACCTTTAATACGGTATCATGTAAACAGTGGAGTACCTGGGTCAAGCAATGTCAAAGATAATAAATCTTCTGTTTATATCAGTTTAATTGGCAACCTTTTTTTCTTTGGTCATAATGTTATCATGACACGAACTTAAAATACAAAACATGTATATTACTAACAACAATGACATAGTTTTAATGATCAAACAAAAAGGTTTTCCTTGCAAAGCCCAATTTTTTCAATTCCTTTGGATTTTCATATTAACATTTACTTGGGTAAGGGGAACTGTCGTGAAATTTAGCCTTCTGATATGGGAATAGCTGAAAATAAATTAAAATCCTTTCAATGTTGAATACCATCTTTATTAGACCTAAAGAAATTAACGAGACTTGCATCGAAATAAAATCAAATTCTTAAATAATGATCACATTTATCATTTATGTTTTATCATATACGGTCGGTATATCACAGGCATTGTATTAACAGTTCAAAAATGTCTCGCAGTCAATTTTATTATGAAATTGTCGCATGCACTTTGATACACTTTCTTAAAACATGTTTAACTACCAAAGGAATATTGTAACGTTTTTAATAAAATTTGGAGGTCCCCTCTCTCAGAATTGCGTATTAGGATTCATTTTTTGTACAAAATTACGTAACAAGAAACGGTAAATAATTAATTTGTTAAATAGGTAACTCCCGCTCAATCACTACTCGGTTTCGATGATAGATAATTTTCAGTTTCAAAAAACAATATGCTCATATCCGAAAACTTATCTGTTACTAACGGTGTGCTTTTAAAGCATCGCATATCAAAAATGGTATTCACCTCATGATACTGCCAATATCTTATTGCACACTTAGGTATAGCGAACTGCCTGTGTCTTTGCTGCATGTATTACATGATTTTATTACAATTTGATCATATAAATCTAATTTTGATATGCAGATTTCAAACGAAAACACGTCTACATACATGTAAATGAATGAGCAGTTAAACATAAAATAGAACTTAAATTTGTATGAACAATTTGATTGTTAAACAACTGATCTAAAATGAGAGCAACTCCAATCTGCTGACAGCATTACGATTTTTTATTTAGAATAATTCAGGATTAAAAAATATTTGATAAAGGTTCATATAAGGAATATTTCTGACAAACAATTAACTTTTGAGAAGCTTTTTAATATAATTACGAAGTTCAAACAGACAATAAGCAGATTTTTGAAAGATTAAATTTGTTTTAAACAGTTACTGTTAATTATATCATTAGACGGACACTTAAATAAACTGTGACTTAAAATCTGATCATTTGATAGTAATAATAGAAAATGATGCAATATATAACATTTGTATCATAGTTTGGAGACATTTCTATTGAAAATGTGTCAGAGTTAAATTGTATACCAATGCATGCACGGCGCGTTAACTGGAGTGCTGAACTCCAGTTACCACACTGTCTTTAGGGATAAAACTTAACATTTGTACTGGGATCTATTTACTGTGACGACAGGGAACGGGATAACGTTCAAAAGGCATATTCAGATGCTCTAACATTACTCACTTTTATCTTGGTTTTCATATTGTGACAGGGAGCGTGTGTTTGCAACAAAAGAGAAAGAATATCATGACGATCGGCAATGAGATTTATAATCAGGAACTATGCCACCCCATACAGTTCAGATAGCCTCGTGTTTCGGTGATCTTTCTATTACTAGTTTGTCTTTGCGCTTATTACATTTCAGATCAGAGGCCGGTTCATGTTACAGATATGTTCAGAGATCTACGGAAACATGTACACATTTGTGGGGATGGAATCCTGAATACTGTAAATCAAAGTGATGTGTTTATGAATACTCTCCTAAACTATATATAGCTAACTGTTTTTAATATGTGATGTTTTTTAAGGCCCCCTAAGAAGAAGAGGGGTTTATTTTTTGCTAATGTCGGTCTGTCTGTCTGTCGGTCCGTCGGTCTGTCCGTCGGAAGACCACATGGTTTCCGCTGATTATTTTAAAAATTATTTATCACAAAGTCTTTATTTTTCACATGGTGATTAGTCATAACTAGTAGATGACCTCTATTGATTTCTGGGTCACTAAGTCAAAGGCCAAGGTCACAGGGGCCTTAAATGTCAAAATGGTTTCCGCTGATTATCTTGAAAAATATTCATCACAAAGTCTTCATATTTCAAATATAAATTGGTCATAACTAGTAGATGACCCCTATTGGTTTTGGGATCATTAGGTGAAAGGTCAAGGTCACTAGGCCTCAAATGTCAGAATGGTTTCCGCTCATTATTTTGGTTGCAATTAATCGCAAAATCTTGATATTTCAAATATTGATTGGTCATAACTAGTAGATGACCCCTATTGATTTTTGGGTCACAATGTCAAAGGTCAAGGGCACAGGGGCCTTGAGTGGTAATGATTTCCGCTTATTATTTTGGTTACTATTTATCACAAAGTCTTCATATTTCACATTTTGATTGGTCATAACTAGTAGATGACCCCTATTGAATTTAGAATAACAAAGTCAAAGGTCAAGGTCACAGGGGCCTTGAATGGTAATATGATTTCTGCTTATTATCATGATTACTATTTATCACTAAGTATTTACAATTCACATATTGATTGGTCATAACTAGTAGATGACCTCTATTGAGTCACTAGGTCAAAAGTCAAGGTCATAGGGGCCTTAAATGTCAGAATGGTTTCAGCTGATTTATCATGAAAAGTATTCATCACAAAGTCTACATGTTTAACATATTGATTGGACATAACCAGTAGATGACCCCTATTGATTTTGGGTCACTAGGTCAAAGGACAAGGTCACAGGGCCTTTAAATGTCAGAATGATTTCCGCTCATTATCTTGGTTACAATTCATCACAAAGTCTTCCAATTTCACATATTGGTCATAACTAGTAGAGGACCCTTATTGATTTTGGGATCACTAGGCCAAAGGTCAAGGTCACAGAGGCCTTGAATGTTAATATGATTTCCGCTTATTATCTTGGTAACTATTTAAAACAAAGTCTTCATATTCACATATTGATTGATTACTAGTACATGACCCCTGTTGATTTATGGGTATCCAGGTCAAAGGTCAAGGTCACAGGGTCCTTGAATAGTAGAGGATTTCAGCTCATTATCTTGAAATTGAATACCCTAATGTACCCATTTGTGGCAAGTTTCTCTTACAAAATTACCAATAATGTGAGTCAGGGCATATGTGTCGTTCGACATTTCTTTTTATTTTTGCTTTCACTTATACATGTATTTATCATAATTTCCTTTAAATAAATATTTCTATAAGTAAAAAAAGTAATAATGATTGAACGAAACAAAAATAAAAAAATAATGCACTTATGATACAATATAAAATCTACGTATATTATAAAAAGAATACCCCACTGTTTTTAATAACTCGCCGTTTCCGATACAATATGAACGATACACGATATGGAAAACTTCCATAGTCACATTGATTATTGATTACTTTGCATTGTTAAAAATGTGAAATTGAACAAGATTATGGTAGAATACCAATATATCGTTTTACCTATTAACTGATCATTTACAATCAGATGTACTTATGTTACTTAAATATTTTAATTTATATCAATTTCTCTTTAGAATTAGGTTTCGCGTATCTGCTAAAAATGGAGGGAAAGTCATATATGAAGACACAAATTCTTTTTATGCCCCATATCAAAAAAGATATTATTACCTTAACGTAAATCGACATTTGCAACGCTCGAACTTGAATTCGACGAAGTACCACCAACTCATTGTTTTGAATACAACGAAACATGTTCAACGGATGCACTAAAAGCTGATGATTTTGTTACTAAGGTGACATTTTTATTATAACATTCTAACTGAAACGATTTTTGTCAAAACTGACTGATACATTTGTTCCAGATTTATTTTCCAGAATATGCAAACTTTGTAAACACTTTGCTCTATAAAAAGACATAATTATACACGTTCAAAAAACTTGATATTTTTGGATATATGTCTTCGTTGTTTTATATATACAATTGAAAAAAGTTGGAACAAACACATTTGAGTGTCACGATTCCAATATGCATTGCAATCATTGGGCTTTTTATGGCTCCGAAAATAGTATGTATATGGGTAATATTTTTAATAATTTGAACATTTCAAAATAGAGAAAAACGAATCCCTTTAAGTACGCTCAAATCGCAAATATTGAAAATGTTTGAGGCTATTAAACATTGAAATGGTAAAATTTGAATTTAGAAGGTGTGCCCATACGAAGGTAACCATATAATCTTCACGGTGATACGTGCGTGCCATTAAATGAAGAATGCGTTTGGTCTTCAATTTAAAGAACAGGTGTGCAAATTGAATTAATTTAAATATTAACGAAAAAGGAATAGATAATTATATTTGTCGTATGAGTTACACATGTATATACGCAATTGATATTCTATTTGATATTCTATATGACAATGAGTTGTATTACTTTTAGCAAAATTTGACAGTTTATTGGTCTGGATGGAACGATGTAGATTCCGGTATTGACTGGTTTGAATTTAATATCTACTACCTAGAATCAATAGATAACGGTCCCCTTCAGTACAGAAATATGTTGCCAGCAACCATTATAGACACTAAACTGGTTTGTTTAGATTTGAACAATATATATTAGAACAATCTCTTATGTTTCTTACGTGATATTGTTTCAATATTTTGAACATTTTGCATTTATTAATATTTGGAGTCATGCACCATAAATAAAAGCATTGTCTGATCAACGTTTTTTAAGTAAAATAAACATTGTCCTATAATTTGTTAGTTTGAATGTTTTTGTTAATTTCATTTTGTAAGCAAATATGTAATAATAACTAAAGAAATAAAACAACTGTTACAATAACTAGTTAGAAAAAACTAACATCTTGGGACATTACAAAAGTATCTGCTTCACAGAATTCGGCGGAACTGAAATTGGAAGAACCAGGACCTTATTCTATAGAAATGAAGGTGCATGATCGTGTAAAGAATGCAAAAGTTACAAGAAGAATCATCATGTATGATAATGCATCAGTCGTTGAACTTGTTGGCAATAAAAGTTGTAGAATTATTCAAGCTCAACCTACAGGATGGGTCAATAAGTTCAGCGATCAAATAGAAATAGTTTGGACTGGAAGATTTCGTAATATGAGACATAACAATGGAGGGTGGCTGAATGAAGTTCAAGACTCGGAAAACGTCGCCAAAATCCTTGATGATCAGAATGCAAGATCAAAAAGAACCATTGAAGAATTGCCAAACGTTTACGGTACAAATTTATACATTTTATCACAACAAACCAATATATAAAGTCTGAATGTAATAAGCGTTTTTCTACCCTCTTTTTATTTATTATTCAACAATGATTTGAATGACATTCATCAATGTGTTAGGAATGTCTTGCGAAGTTTCAAATCGGTATTAAATTTTTTCGTTTTTTTTTCTCTGAGCAGGAATTATACGATTTGAAATTGCCCGGACACAAGAGCTTTTTGGCACAGTAGATTACAAAACATTTTATCGTATACCTGATGATTATGTTTTACTGGAGAAGATGGTACTCACAGATTTGCAGTTAACTGATGGCAAGAAGGTGACATACACTATTCGAGGAGTGGATGTATTTGGAGAATTCGCAGAAGACAACATTTCATTCATGATAGATCTTTCTCCACCAGTTATAGAACATCTATGGCTACGAAAGGGGAATTTAATCAATATAAGCATGCATAACATGTTAGATTTGTCAGATCTTATGTAAGTATTTCATAGTGAATAGTTGATTTTAAAGAAGGTATAAAGATTTAGAACATTAAACATTGAAGAATAAGATGTAACTAAAATCAAACAATTTAACTAAAGTTTTCTACGGACGGCTGATATAAAGTATATAATAAGTTAATTAAATTGAATTAACCACATTGTAAAATAACACACTCAATACTAGATAACCGCAATTTACATCAGCAATTTGTACGCCATTCGTATAATTACAAGTGTTGCAGTTTATTTCAAAGATAATATAAAACCAATTATATAGACCATAGCTAAATATCTTAAAAATAAAGTAACGATTAATAGCCTTCAATTTCAGATTAAGCTATATTAATTAATATTCTAGAATTGAATGGGAAACATTTGATATAAATAGCGGAATAAGTGAAATGTCGTGGACAATTTTTGAAAATTTGACAAATCATGATATCATATAACCATTTCTATTTTAAAAAGGGAATGTCCACTCATTCCCAATTCACGTACCAATTATGGCCAAATTACACTACAAAAAGGATGCCCTTTTTGCCATTTTTGAGAAAGAAAAGAACAAAGACAAGCAAAAAATCAACATAAATGTATTTGTATCTTTTAATTAACAGTGATTTAATTGACATAACTCAGTGTTAAGCCAGCTTAACAAAATCAAACAAGCTCTTACCTTGACAACAGTAATTTAATTATGAAGAATTGTTAAGATGGCTTAACAAATAATAAAACAAAGCTACATACTAATAAATTTGTGAAAAAAAAACACAACAATAACTCAACTGATGTTAACTGAAGAAAAATGTTACGCCGGCTTAACAATATCTTATAGGATATAAATAACAAAATTTATCATTTCATAAGATAAAAATTTACCAGATAAAATGTTACGCCGGCTTAACAAATATTGAAATCCAAGTGAAATTACAACACAAAATTTCAAACTGTAAGTTAATTTGTTACGCCAGCTTAACAAAATCAAAAAATCATTTTCATTAGATGAAGAAAAATGTTACGCCGGCTTAACAAATTCTCATTAACAAATTCTCAAATCCAAGTTGTATTACAGCACAAAATTTCAAACTGTAAGTTACTTTGTTACGCCGGCTTAACAAAATAAAAAAATCATTTTCATTAGATGAAGAAAAATGTTACGCCGGCTTAACAATATCTTATACCATATAAATAACAAAATTTATCATTTCATAAGATAAAAATTAACCAGATAAAATGTTATGCCGGCTTAACATTATCAAAAATCACTTTCACAACATAAAGAAAATGTTACGCCGGCTTAACAATTTCTCAAATCAAATAAATATTTCAAAGAAAATTTCAAACTGTGAGACAAATTGTTATGCCGGCTTAACAAAATGGAAAATATTTTTAATTGTAAGATAAATAATTCCATTACATGAAGAAAAATGTTACGCCGGCTTAACAAATATTGAAATCCAAGTGGAATTACAACACAAAATTTCAAACTGTAAGTTAATTTGTTACGCCGGCTTAACAAAATCAAAAAATCATTTTCATTAGATGAAGAAAAATGTTACGCCGGCTTAACAAATTCTCAAATCCAAGTTGTATTACAGCACAAAATTTCAAACTGTAAGTTAATTTGTTACGCCGGCTTAACAAAATCAAAAAATCATTTTCATTAGATGAAGAAAAATGTTACGCCGGCTTAACAAATTCTCAAATCCAAGTTGTATTACAGCACAAAATTTCAAACTGTAAGTTAATTTGTTACGCCGGCTTAACAAAATCAAAAAATCATTTTCATTAGATGAAGAAAAATGTTACGCCGGCTTAACAAATTCTCAAATCCAAGTGGTTTTACAGCACAAAATTTCAAACTGTAAGTTAATTTGTTACGCCGGCTTAACAAAATAAAAAAATCATTTTCATTAGATGAAGAAAAATGTTACGCCGGCGTAACAAATTCTCAAATCCAAGTTGTATTACAGCACAAAATTTCAAACTGTAAGTTAATTTGTTACGCCAGCTTAACAAAATCAAAAATTTATTTTCATTAGATGAAGAAAAATGTTACGCCGGCTTAACAATATCTCAAATCAAATAAATATTTCAATGAAAATTTCAAACTGTGAGACAAACTGTTATGCCGGCTTAACAAAATGGAAAATAATTTAATTGTAAGATTAATTATTTTCATTAGATGAAGAAAAATGTTACGCCGGCTTAACAGATATTGAAATCCAAGTGGAATTACAACACAAAATTTCAAACTGTAAGTTAATTTGTTACGCCGGCTTAACAAAATCAAAAAATCATTTTCATTAGATGAAGAAAAATGTTACGCCGGCTTAACAAATTCTCAAATGCAAGTTGTATTACAGCACAAAATTTCAAACTGTAAGTTAATTTGTTACGCCGGCTTAACAAAATCAAAAAATCATTTTCATTAGATGAAGAAAAATGTTACGCCGGCTTAACAAATTCTCAAATCCAAGTTGTATTACAGCACAAAATTTCAAACTGTAAGTTAATTTGTTACGCCAGCTTAACAAAATCAAAAAATTATTTTCATTAGATGAAGAAAAATGTTACGCCGGCTTAACAATTTCTCAAATCAAATAAATATTTCAAAGAAAATTTCAAACTGTGAGACAAACTGTTATGCCGGCTTAACAAAATGGAAAATAATTTAAATTGTAAGATAAATAATTTCCATTAGATGAAGAAAAATGTTACGCCGGCTTATCAAATTCTCAAATCCAAGTGGAATCACAGCACAAAATTTCAAACTGTAAGTTAATTTGTTACGCCAGCTTAACAAAATCAAAAATTATTTTCCTTAGATGAAGAAAAATGTTACGCCAGCTTATCAAATTCTCAAATCCAAGTGGAATTACAGCACACAATTTCAAACTGTAAGTTAAATTGTTATGCCGGCTTAACAAAATAAAAAAATCATTTTCATTAGATGAAGGAAAATGTTACGCCAGCTAAACAAATTCTCAAATCCAAGTGGAATTACAGCCTGTAAGTTAAATTGTTACGCCAGCTTAACAAAATCAAAAATTATTTTCATTAGATGAAGAAAAATGTTACGCCAGCTTAACAAATTCTCAAATCAAAGTGGAATTACAGCCTGTAAGTTAAATTGTTATGCCGGCTTAACAAAATCAAAAAATCATTTTCCTTACATGTAGAAAAATGTTAAGCTGGCTTAACAAATTATCAAATCCAAGTGGAATTACAGCCTGTAAGTTAAATTGTTATGCCGGCTTAACGAAATCGAAAAATCATTTTCCTTACATGTAGAAAAATGTTAAGCTGGCTTAACAAATTATCAAAATAAAGTAATGTTTCAAAGAAAATTTTAAACTGTAAGATAAATTGTTATGGCGACTTAACAAAATCGAAAAATCATTTTCTTTACATGAAGAAAAATGTTAAGCTGGCTTAACAAATTTTCAAATCAAAGTAATGTTTCAAAGAAAATTTTAAACTGTAAGATAAATTGTTATGCCGGCTTAACAAAATCAAAAAATCATTTTCCTTACATGAAGAGAAATGTTAAGCTGGCTTAACAAATTCTCATATCCAAGTGGAATTACAGCATATCAATTCTCAAATAAATTGTTAAGCCAGTTTAACAAAATCGAAAAATCAGTTTCATTAGATGAAGAAAAATATTACACCGGCTTTACAAATTCTCAAATCAAAGTAATATTTCAAAAAAAGATTTTAAACTGTAGGATAAATCTCATATTAAAGTAGAACGTAAATTATCAATAAGTCTAACAGTTAAGCTGGGATGCTGATTTAACAAAACTAAAATTAATCTCATTAGCTGTAATGTTCACCAGCTAACATTTGTATAATATCAAGTAGAAGAACAGCATAAAATTTCAAGTTATCCGATAAATTTATATGTTAGCTGAACCACTGAAATTCATTGGAGCACCTGTTTATCTAAGAATTACTGTAGTTCCAAAGTTCTAAGTAATATTTTAAACCTACCATATAAATTGTTATGCAAATGTTAAGCTACTTCAACACAATAAATAAATTAAGTATATATCAATACATTTCATGACAAAAATTGATAAGGTAGCTTAACAAAATAGTTTAACAGAAATATATAGCAATACATTCAAGGACAAAACTGTTAAACTGGCATGGAAATGAAACTCGGATTTTCTCAGAATCAATCAATCTTAACAAAATAGTAAATAAAATATGTAACTTAGCATATGTGTAATCAATCAAAGATTAAGGTATGACCCACCTAATGCATTACCTCCACTTTGAAGAGTACTCAAATAGGCTAGAACTATTGTCAACTGCATTGAAACTGAGGGGCGCGGGTTCAAGCCCCAGAAGAGGCAACTTTTTTTTCCTTTCTTTTTTTTTCTTTGAACATTATTTGTGTCTTTCAGATCACTCTTGATAAGAAAAAAGTGTTTCATTTTAATTTTAAAATTATTATTGGTATTTATTGGGTAAATTGTGCCAAATTTATTATCAAATATGGTACCTGGTATTTTCAAAGTCTAATAACATAAAAACTAGACGGTAAAAGTATTTTATATTTGACAAGCGCATCCAATATACTTCTAAGAAAATTTATGCAAACTTTGAAAACAGCCCCTGATTTGAGTAAATTTTAGCGATATTTTGAATAAGGCCCTCCAAGTAGAAAAATGATCAAACAACTACTTAAAATGGGTGGGGTAGGGTAACATTTATATACATATTTCAAACATTTTGAGTAGAAACAGTAATTTTGCTGGGTCATTTGTTAGCTGAATGCTATTATTTGTTTCTTAAATATTTTCTATAGGAAAACATTATTTCATAATTAGGGGGCTCATACCTTAAATACATATATATTCTAGTTTGCCAAAAAAAGTAAATAGTAATATGTGATCAATTTACAACTTACATAATTTGAAATTATTTTCAACTATTTAGAAGGTACCAAATGGTAATAACATTAAATCAACTACATTCAAGAAATTGTTCTGCAGATTTTTAATGGTATTATATATGAAAAAAAAATTGCATCACAGCAGAGAAATAAGAAAAATATATTTCCTAATTGCTAAATGAGAGCAAGTCATCTATGCAAAAAATACCCATAAAAGTGTGTAATCAGCTAAGCACATACAAAGAATTCATTACCCATATGAAATCTTAATGCAACCTGCCCTGTATGCGCTATCAACAAAGCCTGAAACAGGTTTTCTAAATAATACAGCAATTCAAGTAAACAATACAGTTTCAAGAAATTTAAATATATAAAAAGGAACAATAACATTATACAATTTTCAAACAGGTTTAACAGAATTAAAATCCAGATGTGTTTCTTTTCTTCATCTGTGAGCGGAATCATCACAAGTCTTTGACAGTCCTTATTATGGGCCCTTTTCCGTCTTTCAGTTTGTTGATATCGACGATATTGACTTCCAGACTTCCAAATCACAGCTACAGAGCAGATGGTCGGGCTTTGAACATCATTTCAATGGCAATATCAAGTTTACAGTTTGTGTGTCAGAAAGTATAAGTAACGAGTACCTAGTTTGTGCTACAAGTGACAAACATGCACACGTTTAAAAATCTTGAATTAGAGCCATACAAGGTATAATATATTTGTATGTTGATTTGTTTTGAAGAGTTTTACAAATTTTATAAACGTATGTATTTTAATATTTCTTATACAGTGAAGTTAAGAACAATACTTACAGAAATATATTGTATTGAATTCTGCCTTACAATAAATTTCGCATTATTATACTTTATGTCAGACATACTATCGATCAAACTGTTATCGCCGAAACTGAAGCAGGGAACGTAAGCAGCGTTTCTGATGGAGTGACCGTGGTAATAGATGGCGATCTGATTAGGGAAATAAACGTGTTTGATGGTCCATTCTGCAATTCTTCTACTAAAAGTATGAACAATAATTTTATTTCTTTATTTCATTTAGATATCCTGTATGCTATAATAAAGGATGTAACCACACTTAAGTGAAATTTTATATAATTTTTATTTATGTAGATATATATATAATTATGCTTCTAGAAAGATTGTCAAACAGCCAAGGATAAATTATGTAAAATATGTACGTATTACATATAATCATTAAAATATATGCATTCATGTCTTATTAAAAATCTGGCTTAATCTTTGTAGAAAACAAATTTCTAATTACCTATCTTTATTTAATACATGAAACGTAAATTTGGTAATATCTTTACGAATAATGTTTTTTGGAACTTGCAATATTGAAAATCCTTCATTCGAGTATCATTATACTCCAAAAACGAAGTTTAGGGTGGGGGGTATATAGGAGTCACCCGGTCGTCGGTCGGTCGGTCGGTCAGTCGGTCGGTCTAGCGGTCCGTTGCATTTTCCTTGTCCGGAGCATAACTTGAAAACCAATGGTTGGAAGTCAATATAACTTCATACAATGGTCAAGCACATTGACAGGAAGTGCAATGCACAAGAACCATAACTCCATCTTGACTAATTACAGAGTTATCGCCCTTTGTTACTTTTCCGTGACCGGACAATTACTTGAAAACTACTGGTTGGAATTCAATACAACTTCATATAATTGTCAAGCACATTAAGAGGAAGTGCAGTGCACAATAACCATAACACTATTTTGACAAATTACAGAGTTATTCCCCTTTGATACTTTTCCTTGTCAAGAGCATAACTTAAAACTTACTGGTTGGAATTCCAAAAAACTTCATACAATGACCAAGCACAATAAGAGGAAGTGCGGTGCACAAGAACTATAACTCTGTCCAGAGTATTTATAGAGTTATTGTCCTTTGTTACTTTTCCATTGCTTTTTTCTTGACCAGAGCATAACTTGAAAACTACTAGTTGGAATTCAATACTATTTCATACAATGGTCAAGTATATTGAGAGGAAGCACAGTGTACAGAAATCAAAACTCTTTCTGGACTCATTTAAAAGTGTTTGCCCTTTGATACTTTTTATTGTCCAGTGCATAACTTGAAAATTATTGGTTGGAATTCAATGAAACTTTATACAATGATCAAGGGCAGTGAGATGAAGTGCAGTTTATAAGAACCATAACTCTATTTGGATTAATTACAGTTATTGCCCTTTGTTACTTTTTTGTCCTGTGCATAACTTGAAAACTTGTAGTTGGAATTCAATACAACTTCATACAATGGTCAATTGCAATGAGAGGAAGTGCAGTGTACAATTACCATAACTTCATCTTCAGTATTTATAGAGTTATTGCCCTTTGTTCCTTTTCCTTGTCTTTCTGGACTTATTGCAGAGTTTTTCAATAAAACTTCATCAATGGCCAAAGACATTGAAAGGAAATGCAACATACAAGAAATACAACTATCTTTAATTGCTCACAACCATAACTGTATTTCAATTGTTTTACAAGGTATTCTGTAACATCCTCATTTCCGAAGCAGTCTTGCGGGGTTATTAATCACATTTAGTGATAGTTCTAGTTTTTATGTTGTAAAACCATAACAAAAAATTGAGTTACATGATCTCTAATTTTAAAAGAAAGCTTTCCAGTGATCATTGTATTATAACAACTCTACATTAGAATGTTTAGGAGTCGACTACTTACACATTCCATCCGACAAGGGCTTTTTGCCCTGCCAGGTTCTTTTCCGACGATCTTTTGTGGCTAAACCTTCTTAGGAGATGTTTCTGCGAGAGTCGCCCTCCTTCGCTACCATTTGTTTTTTTCAGTCATTTTAAAATAAATGAAAGAGAAAAACCTTATTTGTTTTCATTTTTTTCTAGGTACCAACTCCACAATGTCATTTCATAATGAGGTATGTTTCAAAAACTTATTATAAATTAGTTTTAATGTCGCCTCTACAGGGAAGTGGCGACAAAAATTGATCACTTCTCCGTCGTCTGTATGTCTGCCCGTCCGTCACAAAACGTGTACGGACTTCTCCTTAACTACTGGTGCAATTTCACCTGAACTTTACAGGAATGATCAATACCAAGTCTAGTTGTGCATATCGTCGGCATTTTGCGGTTCAATGATCTTTGTCATAGTTATATATATTTATAGTTATAACAATAGATGTATTTATTATGGTGTCCGATGGGAGGGCATATAGTCGCTGCCTTGCCCGTTTGTTCATCTGTCCGTCTGTCCGTCCGTTTTAGTTGGATAATAACTTGAAAACCATTGGAGATAATTTGTTTAAACTGCACAAAGTGGTAGAGGGCATTGAGGCGCAGTGCAGTGACAAATAACAATAACTCTTGTCTTGCCTCATTTTTGAATTATTGCCCTTTGTTCATATTTTGACGGGACATACCTCTGAAACCATTGAAAAGTATCAACAAAGATCTTTGTAGGTAGATAGATCTCATTTAATAGAAGTGCAGTGAAAAAGAACCGTTACTCTGCCTAGCATAATTTTGAAGTTATTAATATTGCTCTTGAATTATTTTTACACTTAGAACTTTGTCCGGGTCAAAGCTCTAATGCTATAAGAGATATTAACATGACATTTTGTAGGTAGATAGATATTATTAGGTAGATGTACAGTGCAAAACAACCGTAACTGTTTCCTGCCTTATTTTGGAGTTTTTGCCCTTCGTTCACTTTTCAATTTGAGCATTGTCCAGGACATGGCTCTGAATGTATAAGAGGTATAAACAAGACACTTTGTAGGTAGATATCTCTCATTAGGTAAACGTGCAGTGCAAAAGAACCATAACTCTGCCCTGCGTATTTATTTTAGTTATTGGCCTTTATTCACTTTTTACACTGTGAACCTTGTCCGGTACATAACTCTAATCCTATCAGAGATATCAACATGAAACTGTAAATGTAGATACATCTCAGTTGATAGATGTTCAGTGCCTTCCCTAGTTTTGGAGTTATTGACCTTTGATCATTTTTTCACTTTAAACTTTGTCCGGACATAACTCTGAAACCATAAGAGATATCAACCACAAACTTTTAGGTGGGACGTTCTCATTAAAACCGGTTTAAATTTTGGAGTTATTGCCTTTGTTTATTTTTACACTTTGAATTTTGTTCGGGACATTGTTTGAAATCATAACAGGTATCAACAAGAAACTTTTAGGTAGATATATCTTATTAAATAAAAGTGTGGTGCAAAATAAACTCCGCCTTGTCTGATTTTGGAGTTATTCCCCTTTGTTAAATGTTACTTTTTGAACGTTTTCCTGAACATAACTAATTCTATGAGAGATATTAATATTTGTAGGTAGATATACCTCATTAGATAGATATGCAGTGCAAAAAAAAACTTGTAACTATGCTTTTCCTTATTACGGAGTTATTGCCCTTGTGCACTTTGTCATTTTGAACATTGTCCAGAACATAAATCTGAAAGTATAACAGGTATTATTGCCTTATTTTGGAGTTATTACCCTTTGTTTACTTTTTCACTTTGAACATTGTCCAGAACATAGATCTGAAAGTATTACAGGTATGAACAAGACACTTTGTAGGTAGATGGCATGTGCAATGCAAAAGAACCATAAATCTGCCTTGCGTTATTTTGGAGTTCTTGCCCTTTATTCACTTTTATACTTTGAACTTTGTCCGGGACATAACTATAATACTATAAGATATATCAAGATGAACGCGTTTGGTAGATAAATTTCATTGGATAAATGTTCAGTGCAGAAGACCAATAGCTCCGCCTTCCCAAATTTTGGGATTATTGTCGTTTGTTCCATTTTACACTTTGAACTTTGTCCGGGACATAACTCTGAAATCATTTGTGATATCAACGAGAACCATTGTAGAAAGATAGATCTCATTAAATAAAAGTGCAGTGCAAAAAACGGTAACTTTGTCTTGTTTAATTTTGGAGTTATTGCCCTTTGTATACTGTTACACTTTAACATTGTCCAGGACATAGCTCTGAGAGTATAAGAGATATCAACAAGACACTATGTAGGTAGATAGATCTTATAAGGTAGAGTTGCAATGCAAAGGAATCATAACTATGCCTTTCCTAATTTTGGAGTTTTTGCATTTTGGTTATATTTCACTTTGAATTTTTTTCAGGATATAACTCTGAAATTTTTAGAGATATCAACAAGAAACTTTGTAGGTAGATAGATCTCATTAAATAAAAGTGCAGTGCAAGAATAACGTAACACTGCCTTTCCGCCTTACCTAATTTTTCAGTTATTGCCCTTTGTTATTTTTTTTTACATTTGAACGTTGTCCAGTACAAAATTATAATACTATAAGAGATAATAGCATAACATTTTGTAGGTAGATAGATCTCAGGTAGACGTAAAAAAACCGTAATACTGCCATGACTTATTTTGGATTTATTGTCCTTTGTTCATTTCATTTTTTCTCACTTTGAACTTTGTCCGGGACATAACTCTGAAACCTTAAGATATCAACGAGAAACATTTAGGTAGATAGATTATATTAAATCCGGGGTTCTAGTTTTTGGAGTTATTGCCCTTTGTTCATTTTTACACTTTGAACATTGTGCAGGACATAGTTCTGAAAGTATAAGAGTTATAACAAGACACTTTGTGGGTAGATATATCTCATTCGGAAAATGTGCAGTGCAAAAGAACTATAGCTCTGCCTTGCCCTTGTTCAATTTTACACTGTGAACTTTGTTCGGGACACTACTGCGAAACTACAAGAGGAATCAACAAGAAACTAAATTGGTAGATGAATCTCATTGAGTAACAGTGCAGTGCAAAGAACATTTACTCTGCCTTGTCTCATTTGGGAATAATCGCATTTTGAACATTGTCCGGGACATAACTCTGAAACTACAAGAGTTGTACTTTTCTGTGTGTGTCCAAAACCTATTCGGGTTAAGCATCACCCGGTTCAAACAGGCTCTTATTTTTAAGTGTTTCGGGCTACTCCTTTTATACCACTAATGCGATTTCAATGGAAACTTACAGAATAGATCTGTAGTTCAAGTACTTGCGCATATATATAACGGGTCTTCTGATTAAATGAGTTTTGGTGCTTGAATAAAAATGCGTGTTTTTTGTGTTGTGAGCTACACTGAAACTTGTCCGGACTTCTCCTCAGAAACTGTTGGTTCAATTTAATCCAAACGTTATAGGAATGATCAGTACCAAATCTAGATGTTCATTATGGCAGTTTGTCCATACCACTTATACAATTTCAATGAAACTTTACAGGATTGATTGGTTACTCACACACAGTATACGTTTTTTCCGCTTGAATTATTTTGAGTCAATTTATGGCCCTTGTATTAAAAACTCGTTTCGCCCTGTTAATGATTTTTGTTTCTCCTGCTACATAGTAGCTGCAACATGCAATGAGGCGACACATGTGATCACATATCGCTCTTGTACTATATAAACTAAATATTTAATATACATGTATATTAATAGAACAGAATATCCTGACGATAATCTCCCAATTTAAAGTTCTATTCTATTCTTACGAAGCTGAAAATTAATTAAATAAATAAAATTCATTTTTTTTTAAATCATTTTTTTAATTAATTTAATTTGAACAATTATTAAATAATGTTTGCTTTTATTCTATATACAGATAGATGGAGGAGCATGTTTTAAAGATGTTGACTTCCAATTGTCAACAAATATACTTCGAGCATACTGGACAACTCCATACTGGAGGAGACATGTTTTAAAAGATATATTATGGGCAGTAGAAATACAGGATCGCAATATTGGTAAACATAGTTTTACCACATTCAAATTTCTTAACATAAATATAACTATGCACCTGAATATCAGGAATTTAAATCAAATACTAGTAGATTTCACAAAATTGCCTCACAACTTTATTTTTATTACGTGTAACCTTTTTTACACATCTCAGTTTTCTGCTGATCATTAACAATATCATGAATTTATAATGGTAATATTTGACATTTCAAGACAAATGGAAGACCCTTACTGAATATCAACATCTGAAAGCAACTTCGACACATTTGCATGTCAGTGATTTGTCGTTATCTGCCGGCAGGAGATATCGGATATCATTGAAGTTCTGTGCTGGCAAATACTGTTTTATGCCTATTCAAAGTGATGGTGTATTTATTGTTCCGAATTCTCCGAAAACAGGAAATCTGTCCGTCACAGCAAATGGAACACAGGTAATGATAACAAGAGCGAAAAAGTTATTGATCCCGAGATAAAAGTATAAGAACTTCAGTAGTAATGTTGTCACTTTTAAGAGAATTTTTTTTCAGAAGTATTTCAACTTACCTTGTTACTTCATTTCTAATAAAATGTTCAATGAAACATTTCCTATATTTACAAAATGTACTTCCGTTTTGCCTGTACACAGAAAATAATTTTCAATACACAAACTTGCACAATTCGCTCTCAATGACTGGTCTTCGTTATAATGGAGACACCTATCTAATTCTAAAATATAACAGTTTACTTTTGTTAAACATATTAAATGATGCACACAATAACCGTAATGTTTACAAGTTATGGACATATTTCTGAACTAAAGGGCTCATTAATGTTTTCCTGTTGATCATTGTTAAGACACAAATAATCACATTCATCTAACAAATTACACAAGCAAAAGAATCGTTTCTAATTAAACACAAAAACCTTCATGAAACCGATTTTAGAATAAAAGCACTGTAAATATGTTCATGTCAATTCATTTCTATATAGACCGTTAATATAGAATATTTTGTTTAGAATAATCAGAATATTAAACCTTTAAGTAAATGTATTTTCCTGTAGATTGACATAACCTTAGATCGCTTCGTGGATCCTGACATTGAAAGTGTTGACAAAGCAAGAGATGTCATGAGTTACTACGAATGGGCGTTAGCAGATAAATTTCTTTCCAGTCATTTTCTTACGGATTGGAAACGTTTACCACTACCAACTTCTCAAAATGATAATTTGGTTAGTAGCCAAATCATATTCTTTTAATATATAACAAAAATAAATCGATACCTTAAATATGGATTAATGTTATTGTTTATTAACTCGTTGGAATATCTTTATATACACTTTACCTAGGATGTTTTAAGTTTTTAGACAATTAACTAGAAACACTTACACATCAGTTTAATGCAAATATTACTTTAATTATCAACAGATGCTTTTCAAAATTGATCAGAAAGACAGTGAACTATTCGGCAAATGTGTTGTATTAGAGATTCAAGGATACACAGTTACTGGCCTGTCGTCAGTGGTGACAACTGAATTACAAAATTCCCCTGGCCGAGAAAAATGCACGGAAAGCTTAGTCGTTGATGCTGTCGGAGACCAATTGCCAAGTAGTAAAATAGAGATTATAAACTGCCTTTATACCTTGACAAAGATATTTAGTGAAAAATCATAAAAAAAAGAAAACAATTGATAGTCATATTCTATTCAAATGAACTTATGATGTAAATTTGTAACCAAAATATGATTTGGATTTAGCGAAGAACATGTCAAAGTCAGGTTGAGATTTTGAATTTGGTATCAATTATATTGGTCATTACAATTTTATTACTGTTTTTTGTTTCAATACCAAAGATTGAAAATGCCTTTTTACATGAGTTATTTTATAACATTGTACAATTTATTATGTTTTATTTGCTTAAATTTAGATTCTGCAAACGAAGGTAGAGGTATTTTCCTTCCCGAGAATGGTATCTGGAATGAAACGGACAAGCAATATACACCTTACAGCAACATATTGTCTGCCGTTTGGCCGACCTTAAGGTTAACCATTCTAACTTATATTTTATCTTTCAAATTGTTATGCTGCTGCATACCGATAGAAAGATCAATGCCCGGTTATTGTAATTATTGAAAAAGTTCACACGAACTTCGGACGAAGAACTATTTCAAAATAATTTATCTTATTGATTTTTTAAATCACTTACATGTTTCAAAGTTAAAATAACATATAATTCATGAGACTACTGTTTTGGTGACATCTTTGCTCGTGTTCCTTGTTGTTTCCTCGTCTACGGTATTTTCCCCTTTGTCCCTAGTCTTATTTTTTTGATTTACCCCCTTCCCCAGGTCTCCTGTCACCTTCCCCTGTGCCCTTTGACTTTGTGGGCCTGTTTGTGCTCTGCCTTGTGTCCTGTCCTGTCTTTGTTTGGAGTCCGCCTGGGCTCCTTGTCACTGGTTCTTGTTGCTGGGTCATGTGGGGGTTGTTCATTAAACGCCGCCTTACCTTGTTGATCTTGTTTATCATATTTAAGCAAAAACATCGTTAATGTTGCGAAACTTCACAAACAATATTCAGTTGGATGAATGAATAATATAAAAAAAACTAATAATCAACTGCTTAAGAATATCTTCTACTTTCAGATTAGTTACTGTGCAACTATTAACATTGTCCTTTGTATACCTAATCTATTCAAAGCGCGTGTTTTACAAGTTAAATCACAAAAGAATGTTAATAAATATTTTAGTAAATGTAACGTACATTATCCGATATTTATGGTGGCTGATTTATGCCATATTTTTATAGGCGTATTTTCGGGACAAAAAGGCAAAACTACAAAGCAGCTGATTTCGTATGTGACGCCTCTGTGCTCAGAAAACACGGTCTCAAGAAAGTGGAACAAATCAGTCACTTAAGATATAACATATTTATAAGTAGCAGTTAATATTTCTTTTTTGTAAAACAGAAAACCGGTATTATTTTTCATTAAATACATTTTTAAAAGTTTATTCCTAAGACCTGTTCCACATTTTGGTAAAGAAATATGGTTTAAAAATGTCCCAATGATACATTTATATTACTTGATCTATTATTTGAAATACTTATGGAGTTTGTGCCCATAATAAACGAATTCACTAAATATTTTACATGCCTATGCAATTTTGTACTTCTTACAGATATACACAGTACCAATGGATTGTTTTAATTACTAAAGGTTACAATTCAAGTGTACTCAAAGATCGTATTTTGCGATTCGATTGGAATAAATCATGTGATTATCCTGATGTTGTTACATGTGGAGAAACTAGTATGTATCCCTCTACTTACCACTTAATATATTGATTACTTGCTTATGGCGTTAAAATGTCACCAGCTTCGGCATAGATCCGTTTCGTCATCACGTTTGTCACGAGTCTTGTTAGTCACATAATTGTCGTCTATTTTTTTAATGTATTAATGTGACCTTAGTGTAAGTTAGTTATTTCTTTCCAGGCATTTTGGTGTATCATTATGGTTAATTTCTACATTTAGATAATACTAGTTCTGTTATACTATTTTTTATGCAATGCATCACCTGATATTTCAGCAAATGAGTTCGTAAATGTAAAATTTGAAAAAGGGGAGCTAATACATGGTAGCCGATATGCTATTTGCATTCATCACACTCAACGTAGTTTCGAAGGAAAGATCCAGCATGTTATTAACCAATGTAGTGATGGTATAACTGTCGACTTATCTCCACCTCTAACTGCCGATGTATGGATAGGAACAACGGAAAGTCATCAAAGCTTTCAGGTATAAAAATTTAAACGGGTTGCTTCCACGAGTATTTTCTACCACAATACAATAAAAGCATGTATATATCAGGCACTTTTGTCATCAACAGCATTAATGCTTACAATTTCATTGCTCAAAAATACTATACATTTAATTTGAATAAGTATGTGAACACACATACCTTATTATACATGTATAAAAGGAGAATACAAAATATGAAAAAAAGGTCAACAAGGAAGGGTGGCAATCAATGAACTCGCCCCCAACACAGAACCACGGAAATATTAACCATAATGAAATTGTTCTTATCTGCAGCCATATAAATGCTAGTAATGATCATGAAGAATATGTTGATGTATAGGAAAACATTATATATAATTTTGTTATCATCTTTTTTTAAATTATGATTTCTAGAACAGAAATTAGATTAAAATCATTAATTAGACTTTAATTTCCAGACATCAACGTCAGACCTTACTGTCAACTGGGATTCTTTTACTGATATAGAAAAATATGGATATGCTATGCACAAGACTGCCATTATGTACTACGAAGTAGTTTTAGGTATGGTTCCAAAGTAGTCCTTTATAAAAATATCATATATTAAAAACGATACATATCAGTCAGTTATGAGCCATATTTTTAAATATATCCACCTTTGAATGAACATTTTGCGGTCTAATAAGACAAATCTGATGCTTAAAATCAATAATAATAAGGTTATTAAAATATGTATTTTTGATAAATCTTTGCTAAATTATCAATAGATTATAATGCATCATTTTATACATGTACTTATTTATCATGTTCTGTAACATTAAAATGTGTCGTACAAAAATAACAAATTCTTGCATGTTTAAAAACGTGTGTTGAAAGGAAACATACGTGTATGCTGTTTCAGTTAAGTGTATGTAACAACTTTTTTTAATCATCCAGTGTTTTGAAGCGCAAATTTGTTTGAAAAACCATTCCCGTTCTGTGTAATTCCACTATTGTGTTCAATGTTCTATCTAAAGCTTGACGAAAGAGACCGAAAAGTTTTGAAATGCAAAATTAGAAAAGTGAAGTTTATAACCAATTTCAGAAAGCACATCAAGCGCCGAGAAAACTAGATACTTCGCAAATGTTGGACTCACCAACCACAAGACATTTCATGGGCTTCAATTAAGACATGGCAACACATATTTTGCAACTGTTACCGGTAAAAAGCTTCTTTCTTCGAATGTATGAAATATAAACAGTTTAAGGTAACACGTGTATTAGAGACTGTTAAGTTTTCAAAAACATATTCGATTTTTTGTTCTTGTCTGAAATCGTTTAAAAACAAATTCGATATATCGATACCGATAAATTGCATTTATACAGAAAAAATATAACTAATGATTGATTGTGTCTTACATATGGTATCAAATAGAGTAAGCACTGATGCGAGTAAATATTATCTTTAATTACAACAAGATGATGAACAATTTAATAATTTGTTATCAAGCATACGACTTTACTGGCCAATCGTCGAGTTCAAAGTCTAGAGGAATTCGAGTGGACATAACTCCACCCCAGTTGACAGAGTTGACAATCACAATGCCGTTAATATTTCGAGTACGCAGTTCGTGGAGGCCTGGTAAATACATTATGATCTTCTCAGAATTGAGTAATACATGTAACATAAATATAAATACTAAAATTGCATTTTGTGTTAAGCATTTAGATAAAACGTTCAAAATTTTAAAAGATATATAAAAAAATTCACTCTAAGTATATCACAAGACTATATTTATCGTTTTTATGTCATTTCTGATTCCACAAAATATAAAATAATTTACTTTATTTTTTATGAAACTGTGTTTTAATCTTTAGTTGGAAGGGCGTTTTTGTTGACAAGGAAAGTGGAATAGATCACTATAGCTGGGCTATAGGAACCCAAGTAGGATACTGCGACATATCTGAGTTTAATGATACTTTGGAAGAATGTGGAACTACACCAACGGAGAATCCTTTGAATTTGACAGATGGATTTGCGTATTTCATTACAGTAAAGGTAAATAAATAGATGTAATGTGTTAGTACTATATATACATGTAGTTTTAAATATTTGCAATTAAAACGTTACAAATAATCATCCACCCAAGGTATTCCGCTGAACAGAATTTATACACATAATGTTATTCATTTAAACAAGTTACAGTTGACACATTATGTCTTGTTTTCGAAGGCACACAATAAAGCTGGGCTATTCGCAGCGACATCTTCATGGGCATTTGTCGTGGAATCATCACCACCTATATGTGGCGTGGTTTATGATGGGCCTAAAGGCAAAAATGGAACTTTCACTGACATAGACTATCAAGATAGTCATTCAACGCTGCAAGCACATTGGAAAGGTTTCCACGATCCACACACTATAATAGTTGACTACTTCGTTAACATAGGCTCATGTCGACAATGTGAGGATATATTGCAAAAGCAAGCAGTTGGAATACGGAATGGTAAATACACTATAGTAGATATTATCACATACACATTTTCAAAACCATTCGACAATGCGTATTAATCAGCATGTAAAACCAATTACCATCAATCTGATTCTTCAAACGTAAGATTAAACAGATCATAAGAATCTTCAGATAGGACTTTGAAAACTACATATACGTTTTGTTTTGAAGCAACTATTACTGTATACATGTATTTATTCAGATATAACATTAACGAGTCTACAATTACCGGGTGGTGTTCAATTCTTCGTAACAGTAACTGCATGTAATTCGGCAAACCTCTGTTCAAGTACCACCTCTGATGGATTTATCGTCGACTTAACGCCACCAGTTTCAGGAAAAGTGTTTGATGGGCATACAGGAACTGATATACAATACCAGGCTTCAAGGTACGTTGTTTACAACTGCTTCGTTACATAGGTTTCTAAATACAAGCTTAACTCTTGATAAAACTGATTGTAACGTCCTTAAGGGGCATTCCCCAGAAACAAATAGTTTTGCCTTCTTTCGAAATGGTAAAAATGAGAGAAAAAATGTTTCAATGATGATTTAAGAGCATGTTAGATGCTTGTCAACTAATGACAAAGGGGCGCCCGAGGCCGAGTTGTTAAGGTCGTTGACTTTAAACCACTTGCCCCTCAACACTGTGGGTTTGAATCCCGACAGGGACTGAATTCTTTCATGTGGAGAAGCTATCAAGCTTGCTTACGGAATGGCGGTAGTTCTACTCGGGTCCCCGTTCGTGCCTAAAATAATGCACAGAAGGGCACCTGAGGTCTTCATCCACCAGTATAGCTAGAACGTCGCCATATAACCTATAATGAGTCGGTGTGACGTAAACCCAAATTAAACAAACACACCTAAGGACATCATCGCTGTTATCAAAATTATTTGTCATTAAAGAAGCAATATGTAACCAATATAGTTATTTGATTTCCATTCAGAATTCATACTTTATCACTCTAATATATGTAATAATTGCAAAGAAGCAGCCAAAACAAAAAAAAATGGTTATTGGAAAATATATGCCGTTTTGGAAATTATGTTAGTTCACCAAACTTTGACAAATGGAAATTTTTTGTTTAATAAAAAACTCGTTTCTTGGGGCATAAAGGACCTTGATTGCAAAACAATATTACTTGAGTTTCCACTGAAAACATATGCTCTCAATTCTAAAAAAAAGATCTTATACACATGTCACGGTTCAGAACTGTTCACTATATAGGGGAGAAGATGTGTAAGCGGCCGGATAGCTCAGTCGGTAAGTGACTGAATACAGCTCAGAGTTTAATTCACATTGCTCTCTGTGACTCTGTGAAATTCGAAGACGAATTTCAATATAGCAGGGGAGTATGTCACGGTTCAGAACTGTTCACTATATAGGGGAGAAGATGTGTAAGCGGCCGGATAGCTCAGTCGGTAGAGCCGCGGTACGGTATTCCGAGGGTCCCGGGTTCGAGTCCCGGTCAGGCTGCACATTTTTCTCACCCTGTGACACAAATAAAATGAAATAATGTGTTTGACAAATAAAGCGGCCGTAGTTGTTTACTTTCCAATTAAATATTCATATCATTCAGATGTCTTCAAAGTGTTCATTTAAGATATTAAATGGTTTTGATTTCCAACAGAAATTACATTGGATGCAGATGGGATGGTTTCACTGACCCCGAGTCGAACATTTCAAACTATGTATGGCGAATCGGAACACAACCGGGAAAAGACGACATTCTACCAGCGACAGATGTTCATAATCATAATGAAGCATATATTTTGAATTATAAATCGAATTCAAAAAAGTATTTACCAGGGGGCGTTCGTATGTACTGTACTGTTAGAGCCTTTAACCATGCAGGTAATGCTATGCTGCCACAATCTTAAGATAATGTGCATTTGCTGTCAAAAATGTGCATATTCGTAGATGCTCTTATCCAAAAATATGCATGATGAGTCATAATGTAACATTAGATGTTATTGTTCATAAACTTATAAAGTACTTAAATGGTTGGTTTCTTTTCAAAAAACATGAATTAATATAATATCAGTTTGACAAAGTATGAAATTCAAAATCAAACAAGAAGATACCTTATAATTTCAGGCAAATTTGTAGAACAGTCGTCTAACGGTTTCGTTATAGATGACTCACCACCGGTATTTCTAAAAAATCTAACAATGAGTCCTGTTGGAACCATAAAGGCTGGAACCACTGTGCTCACAACTAGCTTAAAGGTCTATTGGAGCGTAAACGATAATGTTTCCCATATAAAAAGTCAGCATTTATCGTTTTCTTCACATATCGGAGGAGACTTCAATTTACCATCAATAAAGGTCGAAGTTATGATAGTTGTTAATAGCTTAATAATCTTTAATAGCTATTTTATTTTTAAGATTGCAAAACATTTCATAAAAGCAAAGTATTTTCCTTGGGTAAAAAAAATTATTAAGAAAAAAATAATTTCAAAAGTTTATTATAGAGAAGTAATTTAAACTTTCAAATATCACATATTATTATTCTTCATGTCTGTAACTGATATGATCATTATCCTAAGTATTGCTGTTTTTATTATTTAACAGTTGACATAAATTCATAGTGAATCTTTGAACAACGCCTGTTTTTCTTCATTGTGCCTTTGCAGGTAGATGGCACAGTAAGAGAACATACGTTTACCAACTTAGACTTGCATGACGGTAGTTACTACAGTATCAATATCATATCATGCAATAGTGCCAATTTGTGTACGCCATCAACACTTGAAAATATTTTAGTAGACAGTTCTCGACCTACATCAGGTGAACACAAGTTTGATAATTGTATTGTCATTCTAGATAATGTTATAATCATTCCTCTAAAAGAATGATTGCACTAAATAAAAGTTCTTCTTCTGAATAGAAAGGTTTAATATGTAGCGAAATATTAAAACTATATTTCCACTTTGCAATGAAATGATGTTTTTTTATTCTTTCTGTCCGACTTAAGGAACTTTTGCGATAGATACAGATCGTGCAGCACCTATAAAAAGACAACCGGAAGACTGGATGACATGGGACACATTTTCAATAAACCTCTCTTTGCTTGGATTCGAGGACATCCACTCTGATATATGTACTTACGCTGTGAATATCGGCAGCAGTTATTCCAGTAATGATTTAAATTGGGTAATTCTAATTAAACATACTTAGTCTAGCTTTATCATTTTGATAATCGGTTACATAACAAAATTCATTTATCTTATTAGTGTCGTACTTTCTCTCCTGATTGATATGTAGTCCATTTTCAAAAAAAAGAAATAGGACCTAAATGTAGGTTATAGTACTACGATTAATTATTTGCTAAATAAGCTAGTGACAACTGTTTTCCTTTCTTGTTTGGTTGGGTTTTATGTCACATCGATGCAGTATAGGTCATATACCGACGTTCCAAGGAGACCTTGATATGTATTCGTTGTTAAAAATCAATTCAGCTGTTTTGCATTTTTGTCGGAACAGCATAAAGAGATTATAGTGCTTCACAATACGAGCGCGTCCTTCAATAGAGAGGGCCAAGTTCAAACATTCAAAGTTAAGACACAGAATTTGACGGAACAGAATACAGTTTTTATAAGTGTTGCAGCGATTAACTGTGTAATTATAACCATATATATCGTAGATGTTTGTTCACAGTATGTAATAAATTATGGATAAAGCTCTTTTTAATTAAGAAAGTATAATGATATGAACTTTAAAATGATTTTCGATTTACTTATAATTGACTATTTTGAAACATTTTTCTCCGAAATCGCCATGTTAGAATAATGTGGATAAATTTTCATAAACAATCTGTCAATGTATTTGCTTTGAAATAATCAAACATGTCGTGAAGTTACCGTTGCTTTTTCAAGGTTGGTCTTTCCAGTGAGGTTGTGCACGCTCAATTTATCCTCAAAGACGGAGGTGCTATGGACATTATACGACACTGTGAAAGTATCAGTTGTGCAGGTCACTGCGTATGTGCTGCTAAAGGACAAACATGTCCATCCCAACAAAAATGTATTGACGTTAGTGACAAAGGTATTTCACGCAAATATTTCGATTTAACAAGGGTAAATCTTTAACCATACTGATACATCTTGTGTTGGTCTGGGCCAGATCATCGTTTTGTCATTTTATGATTTACAGTATACGAGTAGGCAATGTACAGCGAGCTATTAACACATATTAGTGATCGGATTTTAATAAGTGTGGTATCAATTTAAAGCAAATATGAATATCTACCCGATCACAAGTATTTCTCATGTTTTGTACGCAATATTGGACAAAATAACGTTCTAGATGCATTCATATAGGAACACTCCTCTAGATTTGATAGGGGACGTGTTGGCATTTTCATCGCAACATGTCGTCTTTTTTGTATTGTTTTTGCTTGTTATTGTGTTTTGAAAACTTATTGTGTCCTTTAACGGTACAATACAATGTCCAAATGACACAGATCATATAACACTATCTTAAGATTATCAATGTCAGTATTTTTTGTTATTTCAATAAAGCGAAGTTTGACTTCATCAATGTTTAGAATAGTTATAACTATATATTTTATTTTCTAGAAGATAGAAAGGATACCATTCATGTAGAAGACTATACTGATCTCCAGTTCCCAAGCTCTTACAAGAAAATTTCCCACTCACCAATTAATACAGTCATTGCTGGAAAGTGGTTCGTCGAGAAGCTTGGTGACTCTATCCCTATATGGTAAGAACTTAGTTGCGTTTTGTTGAATGAATGAATATTTCATACAACTCCTTTAATTTCTATATTGAATCACATTTTTATTTTGTTAATTTATCATTGATTTTTAAAATGAGTTGATTACGATTCTTTAGATAAATAGTCAACAATAACCGATCAACTTGAGGATTGAATTATACTTAAACAACTTCTTGTTTGCTTGTCATAGGTATGAATGGAGTGTAGGTGAAAGCCAGTATGAAAATCCAGTCGGTGTTTTCAATTCAACAGATAAAGTATGGCATGACGCTGGTCAGAGGAATTATTGTGTGTTTACTGTTGAAAGAGGTTTGTAAATAAAGTACATGTACACATACAATTATATTGAAGTTTTTTTTAATATTTTGTTGGTGTGATAAGACAATGTTTAATTTAAAAGAAATAAAATACACACAAAAGATAACTCACATACTGGCTTTTCGTGTCCGAAAAGACTTAATCTTGAAAGTATTTATTGAAACTTTTTGATTGAAAAGATCATGACACAATTACTTAATAGACTAGGCTATTAGAATTTACTAGAAAAGAAACACAACAACACGTAGTAGTATTTGCAATATCACACAATATGTTATAAACAAGATTATAGTAAACGTCAGTAATAAGACTACTAATTGTTTGTTTTATTCAGAAAATCCAGTTTTAACTAACTACAAAACTTACTCTGTTTTTGTCCGTGCGTGGTACAAAAGCAACGAATTTGCTGTTTACAAAAGTGCTGGTTTAACAATCATACATTCACACCCTATTTCTATGGAGACAAATGACAATAAAGTTAAAGAAGTACTCCAAAGGAATACCGTCGATGTTGATTTTATATCAAAAACAAAGCATTTGCAGGTGGATTGGGCCGGGATATTTACAGACAGTAGTTTGAAATACAATTTATTTATAAGATCTGAGGGTACGTATTTCATACCTATGAACCCGAAAGTGTTCTGTTTGATTACTTTGTAAACAATCGTAAATACTTTACTATTTTAAACACGCAACATTAAAATAATAAAATATATTTCAGATAGAACTGTGACTTTTAAATAAGTATTTGTGTAATATTCATAAAACAAATTATTTTATTTCTTAAGCAATTATAATTGATATTTGATTCGTTACAGAACAAAAACGTTTGACCATTTGTTAATTTATCATTGAATACGTTCTAGTTTTTTACTTGTCACCGACTTTGTTCAAGTGTTCTATTATTGATATAAGTCTGTTATATTTGTTTTACTTTGGTAATGATCGAAGTTTGTTAGACTACTTGTTTTGTTTAATATCCTTGTCATAGATAGTAATAAAATGCACATTTTTATATGAGCTTGGAAATCATATACGTATATGTACTTTCAATTTTTTTTACTTACAAAAAGGACATGATTTACAAACAGTAGCAAAAGGACTGGATTCATCTATAACAAAATACAATTTGTCTGGACTTGATTATGATGTAGACACCAAATACTACAGTGTTGTACAGGCATTTAACCTTGCTGGCCTTTATACAACTGCAATGTCAGATGGGTTTATTGTGGATATTAATCCGCCGACAACTGGAATTGTTTTAAACTCGTTCGGTTTGTGATACCTTATACTACAAATAAATTTATTTAATAAGATTTAAAATGCATTATTATAGCGTAGCCCATTAAAATTATTTAAAATTTTCTGATGTAAGAAATGCTACCAGGTAAGTGCAGATCAGATGATTAAAAAATCAACAACTACAAAAACAAACAATACGAGTTTAGTATACATACCATCTTTATGCTCTGGGTTATTCTACTGTAGATTTGTTATATTACTATGCTGCTATATTATATTTGATAATCTCCAAAGTTAACGTTTTATATTACGATATAGTGTTATTTATGGCAGTTTGAACCGTTACTTTTTATGCCACCTTTCATTTCAAGGTTTATCAAAAAATAAGCGTCCGTATAATGTCAGTGTAGCGATTTTCACTTGGCATGGTTTCTCGGATATTGGGTCTGGTATAAAGCTTTACGAATATTGCGTCCTAGAAAGCCTAAAGGAACATTCATGTGATCACAAGACAATACATCGAGTTGGAAGACAAACACGACTTGAGTATGAACCATCTTATGAGCTTCATCAAGGTACTTACCTTAATGTTATATATCATGTAATCGTAGATAATATTAACAATGCATATAATCTTATTATATTTGTTTACCAGTATATAGTCCTACAATAACAACAAAAATGAATATTTAAAAGAAAAACGATGCAACTAAGTTTGACCAAAAAAACGTTAAAATGAATGTAGCATATTTTATATATTCGTTAAATAAATCATGTAAGCATCAACCACAAAACTATAATAAAACAACATTCTTTCCATGTAAAGTTTTACCGATTTAATTTAAAGAAAATATTTGCAGGTAGTTTACTACGTGGACTTGTTCGGGCCCGCGACTTTGCTGGTAATGTGTCTCCCTTTGTTTACTCTGATGGTATAATAGTTGATACAACTCCTCCAGTTCAAGGCAAAAGAGTTAAATGTCACCAGAATAGCCTGTCAAATTTGTTTTTCTCAATATTGTTTAAGCATAAAAACGAATCTAAAATTTGTGACGATATATCTGAAACAAAATGGAAAACCATTGGAAAAACATGCGTTTCGCTCAGGAAATCCGATTCAACGAACAGTGATACAACGGTTTTGCATATTCAGGGATCAATGTCGCAAGATGTTACACATATAGCTCATGGTAAGTACAGACTTACATTTTACACATCAACGATACCATCGGATGACTTGAAGTTATCTGCTGTCGAAGGATACGTTCAAGTTAAGGAGCAGAGACATGTATTCATGATCTATAGAAAGCCAAGCGTACAAACATATTCCTGGCAGAAACATATTTACTTTTTCCATGTGTTTGATGAATCAATGCTTACTGTAGAGGTAGGAACTCTTTCACCTGGATCTGCTTTTGCAGTAAATGATATTCAGTTCCAGCACTGTAGTGTGGTCCCTATCACGGAAGATGGATCCTTGAGCAATGTTGATGTAGAGATAGTGTTTGTGCATGATTGGTCTTCTATACACGCAGAGTGGAATTTCACTGACCCTGAAACAGAAATAGTAAACTATGCGTGGGCAATAGGTACGTCTGAACAATTGTTTTTGTTGATAATGAACGGACCTTTCTGAATGCTCAACACGGCAGACTAGATTGACTCATTGAAATATCGGGTTGATAAAGTATGTTATTAAGTAGGATTCTTTGTATCGAGCAATTATATATAGAGACACAGACGTAATAGCTCTAATGTTTTCCTAAATAACAAGTTTATGTTTAATAATGCTATCTTGAATATAAATGAATAAGTAAGATATCGAGAAGAAAACATGAAATTTGTTTCTGTATGCAGCGGCAGAATATCTATTCAGGTTTGTTTTTCATTTGTTTGTTTTGTTTTTATAAGGAACAAAACAAGGCGGAACAGAGTTACAAGAGTTTGTCAGTGTAGGAAAACAAACATTTGCAAGCAATGCTATGCTAAGGCTGGACCATGGATCCATTGTCTATATTACCGTTATCGCAACAAACGCCATTGGTCTACAGTCAAAAAGCTATTCTAAACCTTTCCTTATTGATTTGACTGAACCAGTGTGCAGATACATAAATGATGGTCCTTTGTTGGGTAAATAAATACATAAATGATATGAAATAAAAGATCGACATCCTCATATAATCAGGCAGCATTTTCTTCGCTTACATTTTATTTCAATTTAAATTGTCAATAAATGTTTATATCTTTAGCTCACTACCAATGTGCATGTGTTTAATGTTGTATAATTATAATATAAGTATAGTTATGATTGATATGTTTAATAGAGGAGGTTGTTGAATTGATGCAATGATATAAGATACGATATATTATAACATCAAACCTTATAACACTATACAAATTACATGATTATAAGTTTACACCATATACATGTAGTTGACAATTTTACTCCTTATCATTGTAGGACTTGACCTTGATCGAACAAGCAAAAGTAAACTTTACTTTAACTGGGACATCGTTGATCCGGAGTCTGGGGTCAAGGAATGCATTTGGGCTTTAGGTTAGTTGTTTCGTCGATTTTTGTTCTCTCGAAAGACTCATTTGCAAATGCGAACTAACATATCTTAAAATACACGTATTGAGCTAACTTTAATTCTATATTCATTGATTGCTACCAAATATATTATACTTTAATTTCTTTTCAAATTTTGTCCTTATGTATCTTTGCACAAGTTACTTCTATTCATTATTTTCAAGCCATTGAGTGTTACCAAATATTATACTTGAATGTCTTTTCAAATCTCATACATAGGTATCTTTGCACGAGATACGTCTATTCAGAAGTATACGGAAATAAGACCGGAATCAAAGAACGTGAGCAAATTGCTCGAAAAGGTTCCAGAAGGAAGCGTTTATATTACTGTTCGTTGTACAAATGGTGCTGGATTATCACAAACATGTTCCTCCGATGGAATTCAACTTATAACAAAGCCTCCGTCGATTCTGAAAGTTAAATTAGAATTACTAACTGCCTCTACAACTAAGTTTAAAACACGTGGTCGGTATCATGGAGACAAGACAGGTATACAAGTTCGCTGGAAGGGATTCCGTCTCGATGACAATGTCCGGAGTTATATGGTTCGTTGTTTTCGCTTTATTTTGATGTGTATACATATTATTTAAAACAACGTAATTCAGTAAACATGCAGATAAATGGGATAAATGTATGAAAAAGTAGAATAAGAAGACTGTCAACTAAGTTGTATGACAGTCATTTCTTTTCAAGCAAAATAAAATAACATCGTGTATGAATATTTTATCTACTATGGTGACTACTAGTATGGCATTTGGACTATTGCACTATGTCTTAATTATATTAGTTCATTAGAATTATCATAATAGACTTAGGAGAGTATAACAATGTCACGCAATTGATTCAACAGGATTAACTCAAACAAATCTTACGGTTGTATCATAATTCTTCTTTGACAGTAACGTGTTATTAGTTCGTCGTCAATCAATACTTTTGCAAGCTTATTCTGGTTGAAATTATGTGTTATCTAAAATGTAAATAATATCGTGATCAATTTTTTGGAGTAAAATAATTTCAGATTGCATTGCAAAATATTCATCATTGTATTTTCGAACAAAGCACTGTAATTCTTTATCATAATAAAATGTTTCAAAACGGTATAAATACATGCAACAAGTCTGTCCTGTAAGAAAACATTGATGTATGATGTCGATTAGCAACATTTTGACTGTTTGAAAAAATCTAATTAACTAGTAATCACGTATTATTCATAAGTTTTTGCCGCATGGTAAGATATTGTGATAGTAGATACATTTTCAATGACTTCTCATAAATGCAAACAGTACGTTATATTTCTCATAATGAAACTGTTATTCGAACGTTTAGGACAACAATACGATCATATTACTATTTTTATTTAGATTGAACTGGATGGGAGTGGGACATCGATATTGCAACGTGTAAATGGATCCTCAACGGGCTATATATACGCAAGTTTTACAAACTTGACCCTCGATGATGGCGAGTACAGCATTGCAGTAGTTGGTATTAACAACATGAATGTGCAAAGTCTGAGAGTAACTGACACGTTTGTAGTATCGACACAACCTCCATTTCTTACAGGTATAGAAAAGTCATTAAGATTCAAATATATAAGGCGGCATTTATGTTAAACACAAACTAATGCATTGAGTATCGTCTATAGTGTAATTGTGTATCAAAACCAAACAAATGGAAGTGAATATTTGTATGTTAAAGGGAATTAAACTATTTTTAATGAAACAATCTTATTTAGTGTATAAACGGTAGAATTATGTGGATTTCATACTTGTGATTAATTCCAAAAATACTTTATGAATAGAATGTCCCTGTAAAAACCTTTATTATTATAAATTATTATCTAAAATATCTGTAATCTCAAAAGTCCATAAAGTAGTCTAGAGAACAAATACATGTAATAAATCATAATCAACGTGTGTAGTACACACATGTAATATTATTATATTTACTGGCTGGATTGGATTATTGTATCTTCAAATAGAATCAGACTCATGTTCAGTGATCATAAATTGCACACATTTAACTGTTCGTGTTCAGAGCTGCATCAGTACTAAGGGTGTAGTACTTAAGTACCAGTACCAGTACTTGGCAAATTATGCAGTACCATTACCAGTACAAGTACTAGATTTTAGCATGGTACTGCAGTACCAATACTTTTTTTGGTGAAGTAATTAAGTATCAGTACCATTACTTTTATATATTCATCAAAGTTTGAATAAATACAGTGTCAAACAAATAATTGCAAATATTATTCAGCAAAGAAATAAAATCATAATTTACTTTAAAGTTAACATAACATATTTACAACTTTATAGTTTTAACATACTTTTTACAAACAATATTTACAACTTATATTCATGTCATATCTAATTGTTTAGTAACCAGTCAACTGTATAAATACAATGCAAACATCTTTCATTTAAAACACAATAGTCTTTTGTTGCCTTTCACACCTTCACACCTCTGTTCAATTTATACCAAAGTAAATAACAACTTTTTATGGTGCTTACAATATCACTTGAAATAGGATTATTTAGAATAGAAGAAATTAATTAGTGTTTATTTTGCTCTTTTACTAGTAAATACAAAGTAATAAAAGATTTTAATAAGGATATTTTAGGGTAAAGAGTTATTGAGTCTGTTTATCTTAGTTTAATTTTTACTTTAAGTCTTTGGTGCTTTTTATGATGAATACTATGTTAACATTTGAAGGAATATTGCAGCAAATTATCTTTAGATTTGATAACTTACTTTTTCACAAAAATAAAATATAGTTAATGTATTTTACAGGTTTATTTTATGAGAAAAATTGATGCTATTTTTAATTTTGATCAAAACCAAAAGTACTGGGTAATGCAGTAGCAGTACCACTTTTTAAGATAGTAATGCAGTACCAGTACCAGTAGTAGCAAAATGTTGTAAGAGTAATTCAGTATCAGTACCAGTACTTGCAAAATTGCTGCAGTACGTACTGCAGTACCAGTACCAGTAATGCAGCTCTGTTCGCGTTCTTCTTTAAAATCAAATGTTTTGGTTTGTGGTTCTCTACAAAAAATATACATTATGTAAAATGGTTCCAATCTGATGTATAAGTAGGTCACAGGAGCCCAGAGCTTTGATAGTGTGCGTGTAGCATCACCCCGTAGACCGCGTAGTCCTTTACAAAAAGATATATACATCATTGGCCTGGCGAAAAAGATTGGCTTTGTCCGGGAGGTCACCTATGTTATGCATATGTATATACGACATTTAATTATTATTCTGAGACTTTTCATTTTCATAGGAATCCCAATAACTGCTATATGGGGTAAAGGGAAGATAACTGCATTGTGGGACAACGTGTTCGTGTCAACGATTCCAGTATACTACGAGTGGTCCGTGCGACTTGTTGAGGATGAAAACGATTTTCTGATCAAATGGCAAGAATCAGATGAAACATTCACAGAGACCTTGGTTGACACCAGCAAAGTGACCGGAAAAGGAATTAACGTTCGTTTCACAGTCAGAGCTATAGCATACTCGGGATTGTTTGAGACAGCCTTTGAAGACCTATTGGTTTCCGCTGATTAAAATTGCATCAGAGGCTACTTTTCTTGATTAAGTGCTCGAACATTCAATATCATTCAGTTTTAAAGGCTACTAGTGTAATTGTATTTATTATTCTTCCTAACAAACATAATATAAAAGTGTATTTATTATTCATCATAAAAATACAAAATATAAAAAGTGTAATGACTAAAACAAAATTTTAACGATTTTTTATTTTGTAT